ATTCCACTTGTAAATCGTCTAATTTCACTTGTTCACTTACATTTGGACTGTTGCGTTTATTTTGTTATATGTAGTTTTATTTGCATTTTATGATTGAATGGGTTGCTTGGCTTGGTGGTTACAAGTCTTTTGGTGTGCCAAGGGGTCCTGGGTTCAAACCCTCCCTTGGCCACTTTCTTTTAAACAAAAAAATTCCGGCCACCGGAGGTCCCGCCGGAGTTACTGTTCCGGCCACCGGTGACCGGACCCCGACAGCGGCCACCTGAGCGCCGGTGGCTGGACCTCCGACCTCCGGTGGCCGGAACAGTAACTCCGGTAAATATTTATTTTTTAATAAAATAAAAAGGGAGGGGTATTATTGTAATCTCGCTCTAAAAATTAATATCAGATTGGTCCCTTGGTCCTGTAGTGAGATTTCAGAAAGTTTTGGGAGCTCTTTGATATTAATTGTCTTTTGTGGTCCTACAGTGAAATTTTCCCTAAAATAAAAGCTCCTCATCGAAGAGCAAAAGTCATGCGAGTACGAAAGGAGGGGAGATGTTGACTCGAAAAGAAGAAAAAAGAAAGAAGAAATCAAAGAGGCCCGGGGAGGGGGATGAATAACGGCCGGCACTTAATCTTGATAGTGCATTTTTTTTTGGAGTTTGAAACGCTGATGAGGTGCCAATCATTCTGCAAAGAGAAAATAACATTAAATAAATGTTTAGCAGCGCGAGCAGTGGATTATCTCCTGGCCAATACTAAAAAAAAAGTATTGTTCTTGATATAATAAGAACTAATTGACTAATTTGAGTAGATTAAGAAAATTAATTTAGTTAATTATTTGTAATAATTAGGTATTGTCTTTCTAAAAATATCTTTATTAATCAAGTATATTAGCTAGAGCTACTATTATTACAAGGATTATCTTAAAAATATAGATAAATATGAGAGACAAAAGAGATTGTGATCTTATATTTATGATCAAAATAAAAATTAAATAATCTATTATATTAAGTACCGGAGGCAGTAGTAATATTGTATTGTCAGTTCTAACGCTGAAAAAAGGATACATAATATGTATAAAATCATAAAACAGCTAGCATCCCAAAATGTGATCTGAATGAAAGGCGTGTGTAAAGGATCACAATAGTTGATCAACAATATGTTTGGGTTTGGGACCATTGAAGACGAATCTGCAGAGTAATTAACAGCAGCATTTTAAAATTGATTGCAATTAAAACAATTTGCGGTTGAGTATATATAGGTATGCTTTTGGAGGCATATACACACTGTTCCAAAAGCAAGCGGCATATAATAGCACCATCATTTTTGTTATCAATTAAATCTCTGAATGAATGATTATCTCTTCACAACATTTTTACGTTTCTCTCTCTATTTTATAATCACAATCTGCCATATGTGTCCCTGCCCATACATTCATCTCAACCCTCCAATCATCTTCAAGCTTCACATTATGAGGGTTTCTCGCATTAGCAAAAACCATTTGCTCATCACACTTGAAAAATATAACAAAATAAATATTAATTATACCATGCATATATTTTATAAAACCATTTCCAAATAACAATATTAAAATTTCCCAAGTAAAGAATGAAGCGAGGAGTATACACAGTGAGAAGAAACGCCTGAAAAAAAATGGTGGTGCATCGAGTTAAATATTTATTCCCTCCATATGATTTCTTTAAGTGGTTTTATTTTCCATAATATGAGATGTTTTGCGAAAAAATAATGATACGTTAGGGGACCTTATCCCATGTGGTAATTTTTTTGAATAAAATGTAATGGAAGAAGCATATAAGAATAAAAATGATGGAAAAGAAGAAAATTTTGGGGGACCGTACGATCTGATCATATGGGAGCCGGTTGTGAAGTTAGTGACGATAAAGACGTGATTTCAGGCATTGATTAATTCTTTTGGTGGGAAAAAAGGCATAAATGCATGTCACTAACCATTTTGGCGTGTCCTCAATTCATATCCAACGAATTCCTCATGAAAATCAAAATGGACAATCAATCACGTGGCCACAGTAGCCTCTGCATGCGAAGATATAAAAGCATCTCATCATCATTTTTTTAAATTATATAACTTTTTAGTCTTTAATGTAAAAATTAATTCACTACTTGATAAAAACTAATCCACTAATTCAAGTAAATTTAACTAATTTCTATTTGTATTCAATTTCATTAGTACTAATATCTATCTATTAAGCGTATTAAAAGTGTGAAGTAGGTATTAAAGAAGGGAGAATTACTATAAGATTTTTTAAGAAGAGAATTTAATTATCAAAAAGTTTTAATGACAACTGAGTAGCATAAACCATTTGTTATTTTTTACACTAAAACTTGTTATTATATGCTCTTTAGTTGTCAGTGGACTTTAAGGTATTAATTACAATTCTCATTTAAAAGAAAACCAACGACCTTATAATATGATGACAAAAATAATTTCTTGTATACAGGAGGACATGATTTTAGGGGGTATTTGGATGAAAATCAAACTGTGGTTTCAAAAGTGTTTTAACTGTTTTCGAAGTAAATATGTGGATGAGTTTATCTCGTTTTGCTGAAAAGTGCTTTTTAGAAGGACTTTTAAGGGTTGTCAAACACATCCTTAATCTCACTTATAATCTCAGGTCGTTAATTAATGTGTGAGTGTTTATCATTCTAATTCAAAAATAGAAAGAAATAATGTATTATAAAACCCAACAAACATAGATATGTATAGTATTTTGGAAAAAAATTGTAAAAGTAAATTAGTAAATCTCATACACAGACAGAGAGATATAAACGTGTGTGTGTATGCGCGCACATATCCTTATTTAAAGATGTGAGAACAAGCAGAGGAAGGGAAAAAGGATGAGAAAAACAAATCAGAATAGTCTCGGTGTGCTTTCGTGCATATCCTAATTCAAAGATTCACTATATTCTGTTGTTTTTATGAGTTGATCAGCTAATTATGCCCCCACACATTTCCAACATAACCAACCTTCCCACCGTCTCTAACTCCTCCTCTCTCTCTCTCTCTCTCTGTTTCTTTTCTTGGATTTACCCAAACATACAAATTTCTCTGGTCAAAGCTTCTTTCTCATGAAGTGGTAAGAGAGCTTCTTTTATAGCCAACTATGGCCCTGGTAGAGCGGTGAAAATCCTCCAGAAATATATTTCACGTAAACTGAGACAAAACTCTTTTTATATACTTATCTCGTATTCTATAAATTACTATTAAAAAACAGTTTATAAGTTACTTATAAACTGTTCCAAACGGGCCCTATATGTATCACTCTACTAGAGATAATTTTTATTTGTAGCACTGTCAGAAATTAAAAGTAAACATATCTCTTAGTAAGAATTTAAATCTTGATTCTTCATGTTATCAGAAATTAATTTCTTTTGTTAGACCCGACTCTGTTGGTTGTGAGAGTTTATTTAGTAATTTAAGTTTGATTTCTCATTGGAGGAATTTTCCTTTTATTAATGAGATTAAAAATTGGCCCACACCTAAAAGAACGTGGGCTCAATGGACACTTAAATTCCATTTGTCTAAGGGGCCATTGCAAATGAGGATATGACCCGTTTTGACCTCATCTGGGCCAACTTCAAGTTGGGCTCCGAGGATCTTTTCGGATATTAAAAACTCCCAAATACTACTTCTAGTACTTCTAATTTTCAATATAATAGTTAGTTGATTAATTTAAATAAATAAAAAATTTATTAAATTAGTTATTTATAATAAATAGGTATTATTTTTCCTAAAATAATGTTACTAATTATGTGTATTAGTTAAAACTATCATTTAATAGAACTTTTAACATGTACAATTATTACAATGACTATTTTGAAAAAAAAGATAAATATGAGAGACAAAGTGAATTAAAATCTTATATTTAAAATTAAAATTCAAACTAGCTCTTATATTAAGTATTATCTTGGGTTCTTAATATAAGAGCTAGTTCACTAATTTGAGTAGATTAAGAAAACTAGTTAAGTTAGTTATTTGTAATAAATAAGTGTTATTTTTTCTAAAATATTCTTACTAATAAAGTGTATTGGTTAAAGCTACTATTATTACAAAGACTACTTTAAAATAATAAATAAATATGAGAGACAATATGGATTAGAGTCTTATATTTAGAACCAAAATAAAATTTAAACGAGCTCTTATATTAATAACAGGAGGTAGTAAAATATTCATGAAGATTTTCTTGGGTGCAAATTAATAAATTAAGTGCACTTGTATGTGAAATCAGTGATGTGCATGTTGTAAACTTATGATATGCTATTTATGCTCTATAATATGCTAATGACATTAATAGACTCAAAAACATCTAGCACGCCCATTACCAGCACAAGAACAAATTGAGTGTACGAATTTCGAATACTTACATTTACATGCAAGGAAATGAAATGCCCTACGTTGTCAAACGAGATTATGAAATGACAAAATGTTTTGTATATTAAAAATAGTCTTATAATTTAATTTTAAATTTAAAATTCACTTATTTCCAATTTAGAAATAAACAAATTAAGTGTCCAAATTTTCTCTGTGCTCTCTATCATCAAAGGATCTGCTTACGAATGATTATGGCTACGCATCAGATGCTATTTGCAAGAAAAACCGTAGAAAATTACACACAGAGACACACCGATTAATAACAGTAGAAAATTACACACAGAGACACACTGATTAATTAATTAATTAATTAATTTGTGAGTGCATGAAAGAACTCAAATTGAGGCAAAGAAACGTTGGAGTGGGCCGTTGTTGAAGCAAAAGGAAGCGCTGCTCGTAGTGGGGTCTCTATCTCCTGTCTGGTCTCAGACATAACGACCAAGTTGTCCCAACAACTTTCCCTAATCCGACTCTTTTGGATCTTTGATGCATTCCAACGTCCAATTTAAGGACTCTCTTCCTGACTTTTCCATCTTCCTCCATCAAAAAATTACTCGAACCTCTCTCTAAAATCAAAGCCATCCTCTCCTCCCTTCTCTCCCCCAGTTAAACCAATCTATCAATCAAACCCCTTCTACTCAATCGCCTATGAACTCACTCTAATGGCTCTGTTTAAATCCAAGACTAGCAGGAGATCGTCTTCCTCGTCTTACACATCAACCTTGACAACATTAGTTTTTCTCGCATTGTGTGCTTTGGCAATATGGATGTTGAGTTCCAACTCTGTAGTCTCCCCTGATCAAGGCACAGACACCCGTGTCGCCGTTGATAACTCTGAACTAACCAACAATGACTTATCTGCCGCCGTCGAAGACTCGGCTGAAACCACCTCCAAAGTCATCGAAGAGCCCGTTGATACCACAAGCAAAATCTCCGACGAGTCAGTTGACAGCACAACGAAAATCTCAGACCCCAAAGAAACTCAAGCCTTTGGAGACAACCCTGGTCAGCTCCCAGAAGATGCTATCAAGTCTGATGATAAAAATCCCAATCTCAACGTCAATAATGAGCCACAGAATGACCATATTTCCACTGCTGAGACTCAGATTTCAGAGGAAAGCTCGTTAACTCAATCACAACAAGCCTCTGAAACCATTAGTGACAAAAAACCTGAAGAAATCCACGACGAACTTGAGACTGTGAGTGCTACAGAGAACCAACAACAGAGCATCACCGGGCGACCGCAAGAGGACGTTCAAAGTTTTGATTCTCAAGAACCTAAGAAAGACATCATAGAGGAACGACTTAAGCAGTTAAGAGAAGACAAAGGAGAGACCGTCGAGAAAGATCAGATAACGCAACAACCGCAAGAGATTCGTGAAGAGCAGCAACCCAAACAAGACGAAAATCCAGATTCTACGACAGGGACTTCGCAACAAGAACCCCAGTTAGCTCAAACCGACCAAAGCTCGGAGCTTTCCCTGGACGACCCAAAGAAAAAGAAAACCCAGAAAATTGAAGGCGAAAGTGAAGAAACCCAGAAGCCAAAAACAGAAAAGAAGAAGAAGAAGCGCAAGGACGGAAACAGGGATGAGTCGAAGTCATTGCCGAAGGAGCCGACAAAATCTTGGTCAACACAAGCAGATGATTCGAAGAAGGAGAAAGAGGGACAAACTCAAGCTCGAACGTGGAAACTCTGCAATGTCACGGCAGGAACTGACTACATACCATGCTTGGACAACGAAGCAGTGATAAGCAAGTTACATAGTAGAAAACACTTCGAACACAGGGAGAGGCATTGCCCTGAGGAAGCACCTACTTGTTTGGTTCCGCTTCCGTCAGGTTACAGACGGTCCATCGAATGGCCGGATAGCAGAGATAAGGTGACTATGAGAAATTGATATCAGAGGAAATGGGAATTTATTTTTTCCAGCCTTGTAAGAATGAAAATATTGATGCTATGTTTCAACAGATATGGTATCACAACGTACCACACACACTGCTGGCAGAGGTAAAGGGTCATCAGAATTGGGTGAAGGTGTCTGGTGAGTTCTTGACATTCCCTGGTGGAGGAACCCAATTCATTCATGGAGCTCTTCACTACATTGATTTCATTCAAGAGGTAATTATGTTCACCAGAATGTGAATCCAAAACTCCTCACGAAACTCTTGCAGATTAATATATCAATTGACTCGTACTTATGAATGGCCCCAAAAAAAAAAAAATCTTGATGGTCGCAGGCAGAACCTAAAGTAGCATGGGGAAAGCACACTCGAGTGATTTTGGATGTTGGATGTGGGGTTGGGAGTTTCGGCGGTTTCCTATTTGAGAGAGATGTCATTACAATGTCATTTGCACCAAAAGATGAACACGAAGCACAAGTACAGTTTGCCCTTGAGAGAGGAATACCAGCTATTTCTGCTGTCATGGGGTCTCAAAGGTTGCAATTCCCCAGCAGGGTCTTTGATCTTATACACTGTGCACGTTGTCGAGTACCTTGGCATGCAGATGGTTATCACTCACTCATCTTTCCTTTCAAACTTTTCATTCATTCCTATTAATATTATTCCAATTTGCCGTTGTTAACCATGCTTCATTAAACTATGACACTTGTGGACCCTAGGTGGGTTGCTGCTTTTGGAGCTTAATCGTTTATTACGACCTGGGGGTTATTTTGTTTGGTCTGCCACTCCTGTATACCAGAAGCTTGAAGAAGACGTCAAAATATGGAAGGGTAGGACGACACATATGCCTCGTATGATAACAACATTACACACACACTCACGCATGCTTTTAATTAGACTGAATGTTGGGCGATTTTTGCATTAGAAATGTCGTCACTAACGAAGGCGATGTGCTGGGAGCTTGTGACTATAAAGAGGGACAAGCTGAATCAGATTGGTGCGGCCATTTATAGGAAACCCACTACGAATAAATGCTACGAGCAGAGGGAGAAAAACTTTCCACCAATGTGCAAGGAAGATGATGATCCAAATGCAGCATGGTATGTACCTTTGGTGGCTTGCATGCACAGGGTGCCTGAGGATCCTTCAGAGAGAGGGACAAAATGGCCATACCCTTGGCCTCGTCGACTTCACAAAGCTCCTTACTGGTTAAACACCTCCCAGACTGGGATCTATGGAAAACCACTACCTCAAGATTTTGTAGCTGACGATGAACGTTGGAGAAATGTTGTGGATGAGTTGAGCAACTTCGGTATAACTTGGTCTAATGTCAGAAATGTCATGGACATGCGAGCTGTCTATGGAGGGTACGTATGACTACATCTTTATATGTACATAGATCAATTGTGCTTGAATTACATCCTTTGTCTCAATTTCATCCTATGAAGTTTCAATTGTTTTCTTTTCTTTTTTTTTTTTGGCCATTTTTTTTAACAGAGTATCTTTTCGTTGGATGGCATCTTCCCATCAAACATGCTAATAGAAATTTAAATGCTATGATATATAGCTAGACGTTGAGATTCACATGAAATCAATACTTATGGGGGGCAATTGTGCAGATTTGCAGCTGCTCTAAGGGATCTTCCAGTTTGGGTATTCAATGTGGTGAATGTAAATGCTCCAGACACACTTCCCATCATCTATGAGCGTGGTCTGTTTGGAATGTACCATGACTGGTGCGAATCCTTCAGTACGTACCCACGAACTTATGATCTACTTCATGCAGATAATCTTTTCTCAAACGTCAAGAAGAGGTACAGATGAAAGTAAAATTATTTCACCCTTTTAGCTTTCACCCAGAAAATTACTCTCACACTGATCCTCTTCTTGGCTGTTGGCTCCTCAGGTGCAGTCTTGTTGCAGTATTAGCGGAGGTTGATAGAATACTTAGGCCGGAAGGTAAATTGATAGTTCGTGATGAACCCAAAACAATTGAGGAAGTGGAAAACCTGTTGGAATCTCTGCATTGGGAAATAACCTTATCCAAGAAGCAAGAGGGAATACTCTGCGCCAAGAAAAGCAATTGGCGACCTTAGTCTTCTACTCTTCGGTTTTCAGGCATGTTGCGCACTGGAAGGGGCATAGAGGATTTTACCCATTTTTCTTGCTCTTGCATCTCGCACTAGTCAATTATAATTGATCCGTACAAATCCCATAGAATTACAGAGAATTAGCGAATTGGATAACCCCTACGGCAGATATAAAATTCTAGCTTTTTGCGTTTTGTGCGCTCTTGCTTTGTGATCCTTATATTTAGCATTAGTAATTTGCTTCAGATTTTCATTATTTAAAGCAGTAATCAAATGGAACGATCTGAGAGCCTTATATCACAATCAACATAAGAAATTATTTCAACCTTGAAGCTGCGTGTATGGTTCAGATAAAGGAAAAGGAGGAAAGTTAATGATATCTTGTTTGAGTGGATTGAAGGGGAAAATTTTCGGTAAGCTCTTGTTTGGTTCAGGAGGGGAGAAGAATGTGATAGAACTAATGATAAGTTGACGAATTTAGCTTTATCAAATCTGAGTTGTTTTCTATTTTTTTGATTTATTATTAAAATCAGTGTTTATATTATGATTGTCAATACTTTGACCTTTCATTAATATATTTGTTTTGAAGAAACCAATATATTAATATCAATATTTATCAATGTGCACTTAATAAAATAATTGAACTCTGGCCAAAAAATTTAAAAAAAATTGAAAAGAATTATGAATTAAATTTTATATTTATTGGATAGTAAACTGTAGGAAAAAGTATCTTTTGGTTTTTAATTTGAGTTAATATAATCCTTGATCCTTCAAGTTTGCTTTTATTATAATTTTAGTCCCTTACATTTCAAATCATAAATTGTGGTTCTTAAAAGGATAAAATGGTGAATATCTTTATTGAAGTATGGGAGCAATGTTTTGAATGAAAAAAATTTGAGATTTGAAAATTGATAAACTTAAGCCAAACTAAAAATAAACCTAAAGAACTAAAAATTACACTAACCCTTTTAATTTTATTTGGCAAAAAAAAAACCCTTTTAATTTTATACAATATTCTAATTTGATCATTTAATTTAATAAATACCTTTCATTCTTTTAATTCTAACACTATTACTCTCACAAGATAGTTTTTTGTACTAATCATTATTATTCTTAAAAATCAAGTCTCATGCTAATTTTTATACTAATTATTATTATCTTTAGAAATCAAATTTAATATATTAGTATGGAGACCGTTAATAGCATTAAGATTATAAGATTGAAGAAACATTTTATAAAATTAATAGACCAAAATAAAATTGTGCAAAATTAAAAAACAAAATATAATATCACCTAAATTTATTTTATTACGAGAGGGGGAGGGAGAAAAGATAACTTTTTATTTTATAAAAGAGGAATTACAAATTTTTAAAATAAGGATGACAGAATAAAAAATTATCTTCTCCCTCTACTTTTTTTCAAAAAAAAAATCCCGATTTTTTTGGTTACAAAAACATCTAAGTAAGTTACATTTACAAGCTCACCAGGACCCAACCCAAAAAGACACTTACAAAGATAGTTATATAGTACCCACCACCAGTATGATTTGTGTCATGAGCCAATTGCTTATAATTGGGCCAACTTTTATTGGCCCAAAAACCCAAAGTGAAAAGGGAGGAATATTACAAAAAGAGACCTTTCCGACTTTAAAGTTTAAACCAAACAAGGGGCTTCCCTCCGCTACCCTCCAATCCATTTTCAACAAATCATTAACAAGGGAAGGGAGCAATCCTCTCCCCTCCCTCCCCTCCAAAATTACTTCAGGATTAGAAACAACCAGGCAAGCAGTATCACGGCTTCCCATGGCACGTAGCAAGAGAGCCAAAGAAAATTATGAACTACTCTATGGATTTTCAGAAGGAGCAAATGATCTAATTACAAGCAAATCCCCACTAAATTCAAAATGCATTAAAGAGATCTCAATTCAGCGCGGATCATGAAATCGAAAGCTAAAAGCTTCAATTTGCTGTTAGAAACTTGATCCTTCACACGATGCATCCCAACTCTCACGTGCAGACGCATTGCACCTGTTTGTGTTCATCAGGGTCCAGATGCCATCAACTTGTACTCAAGAGTTTCTGCAATTCGCCACTCTCGACTGCAGCTTTGAGATCTGAATTAAAAAGTGGCCAGTGAGAGTAGGAAAAAGAACAAAACTCATGGGAAGATGGTCGCAGAATTCATTGGCAATTAGAGATACAACATATAATCATAGAAAGCACAACGCCGAGAACTAACCGTCAGATCCACCAATATGCTTGCCATTCACAAATATTTGTGGGACAGTGCGCCGGCCTACGAGATCCAGAAGAACATTCTGAATTCGATACCCATCATCTACCAATCAAAGGTAACACTTTACAAAAGTGAAATCATGATGACATTCAATGTAGATGCCATGGCCAGTGGTAAATACTATATATACCTCGCAGATCAAGCTCCACGACAAAAGGTTGCTCATTTAGTTCTTTAAATATGCGTTTGGCACGCAAACAATACCTGGTCCAATGGAAATATGGTCAATCATTCTGCAACAATGTGTTCAGGAATGCCAACTATGGGCGCCTCAGTGAGACAGAGAGATGGAATATCAACACCAAGTTCGATGAACTTTGGCGATTAACTTGGAAACTAGAAGCACTCGTGGCAAGAAAATAAAAAGTCATCAGTCAGCACTAGAAGCTTTCATATCTTATTAATAGTTGATAGTTCCCTCGTTCCATGCCTTCTTTTTTCCCCTTGCAAGGGTGGTAGGACATAGAACGATTTGCAGACAGACAAGGTATTATGACTGACAGAACTACCACCTTCGGAATTTCATAATGCTCTCGCCTACAGACTAGATCAAAAATAAATTTGTCCAACAACCAAGGATCGAAGGACTACAAACAAGAACCTATAGAGTACTCCACCAACCTAAAGAACACGATAAAACACAGTCATGGAGGCAGCAGGTTTAGCGACAGCGTAACTGCATAAGTTTCGTAACTAAGATAGTAGAAGGCTGGAAGTATGTGCCTCGATGTCAACCACAGATACTCTTGAGAGTAAATTATACGCAACACAGAACAAAACTTACAATATGATCAATTCCCTGTAGATAAATAGCCAGCATTACATACTGTGGATTTGCTCGGCGTCCTCAAACTTCCCAATCCTGGGTTTGGGAGCAGAAAATCGCCGTAATTCAAACTAAGCCACTCGATGTTCATCGCAATGATTAGAATTGGAGTACATGCAGCCTCTATATGGCTAAAGGATACAAAAGCGGTCAAGGGTAAAAGTCAAAATTGATACAAAAGATTTCCTTAACTGGATACATGATTATGACGGTGATTGTCGAGATGAACACAACTCATGGGCAAATCGAAGAGCCACCGTGCTAAACAGCCAAAGAGGATCACATAACATTATAACAAGCAAAGTATAATTACATGGGCACTTGTGTAGTATGCCAGAACAACCTTAATCGTGCACATAAACCATAAGCCCTCCTCTTTCAACTTTGAAATTGAATGTCAGATAATGAAAAATCCAAAGGGAAAATCCCGTTCTTCCTACACATACACCAAAAAAACAGAAATTGAGAAGAAGAGAGAGGGAAATAGACATACGGACAGTAGGATTTGGAGAAGATGGCGATTTTGCTGGAGTAGATGACATTATGAACGAAGGCAGGAACAGAATTAGAGGATTCGACTACCACAGGTTGCTGGGCAACCAACAGCGACAAAATCACCACTATCACAAAGGGAAGCCCTAGCCTCATCGTCATCGTCCCCCCCATACTTTCTTACAATCAGGGATGCCAACCCTCGAAGCGAAGCCACAACCCCGATTTCCACCTTTCCGGTCTTCGCCCCTTATGAGCTAAACAATCAGGCCTAACTGAACAATGTACTCAGCCACTATGATGAATTGTGCACTGTGGAGGGTTCTATGTAGGATTTTAGCCTAATTGTCATATGGAAAAACTAATTATTATGTGGAAGAATGAGGAAAAAAAAACCCCAATAAATATTTTATTGATGAAAACAACCTAACAAATATTTATACACAAAAAACACAGGCATTTTGTAAATATTTACTCATAAGGATTTTATCTATTTTAGCATAACCTTTTTTATAGGAACTTTCCCCCCCTAATTTTTCTTTATATTTTCCAGAGAAAAACAATTTATTTCTATGCTTTACATTCTTTTAATTTTTAATAGGTTATCATACTTAAAAATTTTTTCAAATCAATCTCAATAGTATATTGACGTCGATAAGTTGTAAAAATTTAATTGTTTCAGTCTTCTTCCTAATGACATGGCCTAATAGTGTTAACGTAAAGGGCAAAGTGCTGGTAATACAATTTAAACTATCCAAAACTCATATGGATGGTTTAGGTTTAGAAATTTTAATATGCAATTTTTTTAATGACAAATTTATTTTTTTAAAGATATGCTAGTTATAATATTATATTGATTTTAAATCCTTTATCTATTAAAATAAAAAGTTGATTAAAATATATAAAAAATTGAAATTAAATCTGAATCATCTAAAATTGATCTGAATGCTCTAAATTTCGATGATCACTTCATGCTTATTATTGTGATAAGTGCTAAGAATAAATGATTATTAGACGAAATAGGGAAACTAAACAAATAATTCTTTTGGAACTAAACAAATAATTTTTTTTTATCAATTCATCATATTTAGCAATAATTTTTATTTATTGTAATATATAATTTTTAATGACAATGAGAGAATTTGCATCCAATCAACAAAGGACACTAGATAGTGCGAGCCCCTGTTGCTCGGGCTTTTTCATTCAATCAACTCTCCCTATATATAATACACTTTGCTTGTAATTGGTTAAACTTCCTAAAATATTTTTTAATTATTTATATTAAAAATATTCTTAATGAAAATCCCATAATACATGCAATTAAGAAGAGGGTTTGGAAAAAAAAATTTATAAACATGAGAGCAAAAATGGAGCCAAGTTTTATAATCAACGCATAAATTAGTGTCAATAGTAAATACTTTTCCGATCCTAAATATAAAATTTTTATACACACTAATATAAAGATATTATATTTAGGATTGGAGAATATTAGACAACAAACCATTTTATTTATTACTTTTTGGAGATTTATGTTTTGTAAACAGCTGGAAGTATAATAATGAAAAGAAATTTACCTGTAAGTATCTGTTTAAAAGATTACCGCCGAATTCGAGTAAAACGGGAGGAGGCAGCACGGTAAAGCACCTAACGATAAGAAATTCAGGTCATCAATTCCCCTCTTCTTTATTGCCACTTCTGGGCTTGTTTTCTCAGAAGGGAAATGGAGAGGGCAATTTGACCTTTTACAAAGACAAGGTTCATTTTTGTTTCGGAAGTTATCATTACTGGGTTGTGAGTATTTAAAAGTTTTATTTGGAATAATATTGATCCAAAAGTTATCAAAGCATAGTGATACTCTCCTCACCGTTACTCAAAGTTAACTTTCACTGATAAAGTCACGTGGCACTCCCACATGGCACTCAATATGCCGCCTCACCGTCCAACTCATGCTTGGGTTCTGTCTACCTCATCTTTCTTCTTTATTTGGCCATCTTCCTCCGCCATTTTTATTGAAGAACAAAGAAAGGAAACAAAGCAAAACATGCTAACAAAATAGGGGAGAGATGGAAGGAAGAGAGGCTTGATTTTCTCTCAAACTTCTTAACCCCAAGTCCATCATTATACTTGCATTCCAAACTCCATCGTGCTTGCCATTCTTTGTTCTCCATTCTTGCAAGGCAACATCCATTGAGGAAAGATTTCCCTTCCCCCTCTCAAATCATTCATCACTAGCAACAAAACAGGTCAAATAAATTTAACTCAGATGGAGATTAATGAATTGAGTTCAACATGTTCAAAAAATAACCAAAAAAATCAGATCAAATCGCAACCCAGGTATGACTTTCAAACAATAATTTCAACCACGGATTTCGACTCAAATCCGGTTCACCGGCGAGAGAGGAGAAGAAGGTTGTCACTGGCAGGAGTGGAGAAGATAAGGACCGATCGATCTTGATCTTGCCATGTCTTTTCTTTGATTTTGACGAACCTTTTTTAGAATCTTTCATGTTCCTTGAAAGATAAGAAAAATACGCTAACCCAATCTTAAAAAAAATGGATGAAAACTTGACGATCTAGAGAAGAAGATTTGAGATCGAACAGGATGGCCTTGGCCGCTAGTGTTAAGCTCGAAGGAGATCGTCGTTGCTGCTGGTGGTAAGTTTGAAGGAGATGGTCGTCACTGCTGGCAGTGAGTTTAAAGAAGACGGTCACTGCTAGTGATACTCTGACAGATTTGAAACTCCACGATCTTGACAATGATGATGTTAAGGGACAATAACCATTGACACTTCTGAAGGAAAGGAAGACGATGATGGAGCTAATGCCATGTCGAGGGAGAAGGGAGAGTGATGGGGTGAAAATAGAATGATTGGGAGAGTGAGAGGATGGATGAGATGGTGGGATTGGAGTGTCTGGGTGCTTGGTTGCAGCTTCAAAAGAGTCTGTCAATGGTGGGCGGAATTTTGAAGGCCGACGACAAACGTGGGAGTGAGGAGGGGAGAGGAAGGGGAAGATGATGGAGTGTGATTGTGAGATGACAATGAGGTAGCATACTGAGTATCAGGGGGGAGTGCCACGTAGTTTTAACACTAAAAGTTAACTTTGGGTGAGTTATGTTTAGAATCCAAGACAACATTATTCCAAATAAAACTTCTAATTACTCACAACTTTTTAGTGACAATTTTTTAAAATAAAAATGGACCTTGTCCAGTTTCTAATAATAATTTTTTGAATTCAAAAAGTCAATTTGTAATTTTATATTTTTCAAAGTCTTCATTTCCCATTTTCCCTGTACATATTGACCCACGCGGAGGTGGCTGGCTTGTGCTTGGAGGTGGGTAGAGCTGGCTTTTGTTTTTGTTTTTCTCCGCAAAACGCCAGTTTACTTGAAGCTGTTTATTTGGTCAAACACCAACGAGGACAAGAAATCTGATCAATTGCATTGCAAGACCACAAGAGAAGGGAGGAAGCTTCTTGCTTCCAGTCTGGAAGGTCCCTGCTCACATCATCAGATCAATCTCCTCCGTTTTCGAAACAGCTGTCCTCAGCCGCCGGTACTCTCAGGAGGAGGGACGGCCGAGATGGCTGAGGTTGCTGTATCAATAGTTGTTGAAAAGCTTTCAGAACTTCTAGTCGAACAAGCAGTGGGCGCAGTTTCTGTACTTGATGGTTTGCGCAACGACGTAGAGAGGCTGAAGAATGAGTTACGATGGATGCAATGCTTTCTGAGGGATGCCGATGCTAAACAAGAAGAAAACCAGCTGGTCCGCTTGTGGGTTTCCGATATTAGAGATATTGCTTTTGAAGCTGAGGAGCTAATAGAGATTTATGTTTCGAAGGTAGCGTGTCAAGGCAGATGGTACAGAGTCTTCAGATCCTTACATCTCTACGAGGTCTCCAGAAAAATCGAGAAAATTCGAACTAGGATACATGATGTATCTACAAAGCGGGAAACCTACGGCGTTGTCAGAGAAACACAGGGGAAAATTATTACCAATGACCGGTTGAGGTACTGGAGACAGCCATGGCCCTATACTGAAGAGGAGTGTGTAATTGAGCTTGAAGATGACATGGAATTGCTGGTCAATCAACTGCTTACAGTGGACGCTGGGCGGGTGGTTTCTATAGTTGGTATGGGGGGTTTGGGCAAAACCACCTTAGCTAAGAAACTGTATAATCACAGCAAAATTCATAACCATTTTGATTGCAGAGCTTGGGTTTATGTGTCCAAAGAATACAGAAGAAGAGACATTTTGCTAGGAATTCTCAAGGATGCAGATGCTCGCGGTAGAAATGAGGTTGACGGACGGGAGAGATGGCGGGAGGAAGACATGGTGACCCGCCTGCATACTATCTTGGACGAGAAAAGGTATTTGGTAGTTCTTGATGATATTTGGAGCACGGAGGTTTGGGATAGCCTAGAATCTGCATTTCCCAGAGGGAAGATGGGTAGTAAAATTTTGCTCACAACTAGAGACATGAGAATAGGTAAGCACGCCGGTGGCGGCGGTAACCCTCATAAACTACGAACGCTGACTGAAGATGAGAGTTTGAGATTGCTGTGCCACAAAGCATTCCCCGGAATGAATAGCATCCCCCCGGAGTTGGAGAATCTTGCAAGGGATGTCGTAGTGAAATGTGGTGGTTTGCCTCTGGCTGTGGTGGTGGTTGGCGGTTTATTATCAAGAAAACTTCAATCAAACGAGGAATGGATGCGAGTGGCCAAAAATATCAGTTGGCATCTGCTAAATGAGCAAGACAGAATCCGATATATTTTGGCCCTGAGCTACAATGACTTGCCTTCTCACTTGAAATCATGCTTTCTCTACCTAGGTCTTTTCCCAGTCGGCATGAACATTCAGACGAAAAGGTTGATTCGCCTGTGGGTCGCAGAAGGTTTTTTACCGCAAGAAGGGGCAGAAACAGCAGAAGATGTTGCTGAGAACTGCCTAAACGAGTTGATTGGTAGGTGCATGGTTCAAGTGGGCTCAGTAAGTTCGTTAGGCAAAGTTAAGACAATTCGCATCCATGATCTTCTCAGAGATATTTCCGTCTCCAAAGGGGAAGAGGAATATTTTCTCCGCATATATCTTGGGAGCCTGGAAAGTTTATCGGCATCTCAGCTAAATAGATCCCGCCGCCATGCCATACATTCTTGCTATGACCGTTATGACTTCTTGAAACACGATGCTTGTCATTCACGTTCCCTCCTCTTCTTCAATAGAGAATATAATGCAGATATAGTGAAGAAAATCAGGTTCTATGACCAGCAGTACAATATGAATTTCCTGCTAGAAAAGAAACTGAATTTAATTTTTAGCAAATTCAAGCTTCTCAGGGTTTTAGAGTTAGACGGTGTTCGGGCTGTTCGTCTGCCGAATACAATAGGGGACCTTATTCAATTAAGGTATCTTGGACTGAGGAAGACTAATTTGGAAGAGGAACTTCCACCTTCCATTGGAAACTTGCTGAACCTACAGACGCTTGATTTAAGGTACTGTTGTTTTCTGAAGAAGATACCAAATGTGATTTGGAAGATGATTAGTTTGAGGCATTTGCTTCTGTACACTCCATTTGATTCTCCAGATAGCCGTCATCTAAGATTGGATACATTAACCAATTTACAAAGCCTGCCGTACATTGAGGCTGGAAACTGGATAGAAGATGGGGGTCTAGAAAACATGAAAAGTCTCAGGCAATTGGGAATATATGAATTATCCGGAAAAGTGGTGAGGTCAGTGCTTTCTATTGCACAAGGATTACCTCACCTTCACTCACTGTCTCTATCACTTCAATCAGAAGAAGATGAATTTCCAATTTTGATGCAGCTTTCTCAGTGCACTCATCTCCGCAAGCTCTCTTTGAATGGGAGGATCAAGAAGCTACCTGACCCTCATGAATTCCCGCCAAATCTTATCAAACTAACTCTGCATAACTCCCATTTACAGATGGAATCCATTGCCAAACTTGAGAGGCTGCCAAAACTGAAAATGCTTGTTTTAGGGAAAGCGGCGTACAACAGGAGGGAATTGATCTTCTCTGCCGATGGATTTTCACAATTGCGAATTCTAAGGCTTAATGTTCTGAAAGAATTGGAGGAGTGGACAGTTGAGGAAAGGGCAATACCAAGACTCGAGCATGTCATTATTAATCGCTGTGAGAAGCTGAAGAAGATCCCAGAAGGACTGAAGGCTCTCTCTTCTCTCAAGGAAATAAAGATTATAGGAATGCCAGTAGAATTTGAACAGAGACTACGAACTAAAGACTTGCTGGAATTCCAAAATATCCCTTCAATTGAATCAACTACAGACATTTTGGCAAATGGTAAGCTAAATATTCATCACTGATTTTTTTATTTCAGACTGACTCCAGAAAAGAAAGGGAGGTTATAAACAACTGCATATTGTGCTGCAGATTTCAACGGCGGGCACAATGTTGGTCGTTGAGAAACCTTTCACCTTGGTAGAGGAAGCATGTCCTAGTTGTGGTTTTTTCTCTTTCATTGAACAGCATGTGCTTCATTTTTCTTGTTGACCATTTGCATAATTGCTGAGATTGATCGTTTCGCTGGCAAGTTTTCCTCGTCTCTTCTATTTTTTTGGACTCTTGAATCCAATTTTTAGTACTTCCGGCAACGGTCGCATGACTCGAACACAAAGGTACAGGGAGTTGGCCAGAAAAATATCTTACAGCGAAAGCTCAGAGTTTATTGTAACATTCACAAAAATTTCTATCTATACACACTGTAAAGGCTGTGACTTGAAAAAATAGATTACAACATGAAGCTGAACAAGATTCTATTTACTTAACTGCAATTCTGTATATTCTGGTTTACTTCTTGTTATATCTGCATTTTGAACTCCAGCCCCCAACACCACACCAAAGGGTTCACCCACGAGATTAGCGGAGAGTAAACGTGATACATGACTCTCTGTCATCATGATGCAATCGGGAGTTTGCGGAAGCTTTTATGTGTTTACCAAGGTTAAAAGTTCGAGTATCTATGTCTTTTATGTTATTGCTTTTTAAAATCTTAAATAGAGAACCTTCAAGTTCAACATTTGATAATGAAACAATTTCGGAATTTGAAATTTATGTTGCGCGTAACTTGCCAGGACAAAATCCCACTGGCATCACACTTGATGTTAAAGGTAGAAACTGAAAGTAGCTCTTAGATTCGCAATCATAAGTTCCTTTCCTATATAACATGTGACTTGCAGTGGCTTGGACCAGGTTAGTGTATTCGACCAACACAGTTAGAACTCCTTCAAATTGTCCTTGGACACCGCATTTAAAGGTCCTCGTCAGTTTGTTTAGTTAATTTTCACACATACAAACACAATATTGTCCAACGAACCAATTACATTTCAGCCCCATTTTTGTAGTTGTTATTATTTTATAGACATTGTCACAATTAAAGAAATTCAGTTAATGGGCTTAGTTGTCATTCATTATTATGCACTTCCTATAATTCAAGAACAGGATCTTCTTGAATTATAGGATCTTCTTACCGACAGGAATTGGGTCTAGCGGAAGGGGCTAATCTCCCACAACGTGGTGAATCAAGGTTCGAATCCCTGTTGAGAGAAGTGTCCACATTTAGTGCCTGACAGTGCCTCGAATAGAATTGTCTTTAATAAGAAGATACCTATACTGTAGCAAAAAAAAAAAAAAAAAAAAAGAACAGGATCTTCTTTGCTTCTCACAAACAAAATACTCTTCCCGTTCATTTCAAGCACAGCCATAAAGCAGGGAAGACCTACTGTGTTCTATTTATTTGGTTATATGGCTTGTCGCCGCCTCAGATATTCAGTGACAGTGATAGCCAGTGGATCAGTTACATATTGATTCTGATTTGGTGGAGCGCAGCTAAGACAGAATGGAAAAGCACAAATTTGTTTATGAATGAATTCATGCGAAATTAATTAGTACATAAAATTCATTGCCATACACACAGACACACAGGAAATGGCTTCGTCAACTCTTGAGAAAAACAACTTATTTGCTATCGGAAACCAATGGACATAATGAAAAAACTTCTGGCACAGTAATGACATAACTTAATATTTGTTAACCCTCCTGCAGATCTTCCTTACCTCTCCTCTTGAACCTGTCAAAGGAGAAATGTTTCCCATCTTGACCATGGACTTAGCGAATTGCTCGAAGAAAATATCATTATTTTCGGCATATTTCTTCACTAACTGTGCGGATACTTGATTCTCTGTGAAGAGTACTTCATCGGAATTTAACAGACCCTTGTAAGCCAACAAGAGCTTGAAGTAGCTGTTGTCAAATTTTATTGGACTTACGAAGTCCAAGAAAAACAAAATCTGGTCACCACCAGATCTTGGGCACCTGCTCCGCAATTGAGCAGCATAGTACTGGTTAAGTGTGAAGTCTGCCTTTCCATTCCCAGTTTGGTTGTATAGTCTCTGCCTGAAGCTGGTGCACCTGGAGTTTCCAATTGTGTGGCTCCCTGCGACAGTTTCAGAGATAATTTACTCACCCAAAACGCATACATAGCCATGAAAGTTTCAGGAATTGAGCAGAAGACAAAATTTACATACAATTCTTGTGTTTGGTATTCTCCAGTGAAAAAACATCATGATTGCATATTTGTTTACACCTCTTCATGATATAACCGGCGTTTTTTGTTTTTATTCCCCCCCCCCCCCAAAAAAAAAAAAGCTCCATAGATCATATGTTCACCACGAAACCAATTGCGAACATTACAGAAGCTGATTGAGTATAGTCTTTGAGTAGATGTCAGGGATTATAATCCAGATAACGAGGAGGGAAAAAAAAAAAAAAACAGAAACGAAGGACATATTCGTATGACAGACGAGTCGCAGGAATTTACCCGACAGAGCAACTAGGTCAACTATGTCAAGACCCTGAAGCTTGAATTTGGTTAGGATGGTCTGAAATGTGTTGTTTGGAGCAGGAATGTTGTTGTTGGAGCCACTCAAGCTTGCACCAATAGAGTCCCTTCTCCCCAAAGGTACCTTCCAGCTTGGTCCACCAGTCTGCACTTAAAACATTCATAGCAAATCAACCAGGGTTGCTAACAGAAGTACTAATGGCGAAAGAGTAAGAAAGGGTACAAAACAGAAGGAAAAACTTACGAGAACAGTTGAATCTCTGGCAGCTAAAGCCAAAATATCAGCACAAGATACCGTGTGAGGGCATTCTTTCTCTAGTGCTGATTTGATTTCATCGATAACTTCGAATCCTCTGGCTGAATTACGGTTGGGATTTGATCTCTTCTCACTGATGATAGTTCCACTGCTATCTAGCAACACTGATGCATCACAGCCCTGCAATATCAACTTAAAGTCACTTACTTAAACAGTAGTGATCCTATAGAACACTTAGATGACCAATGAATTACGAAAACTCCGTTGCTGGAAGGAAAGAATGAAGACCTTGACAAAACAATCATGGAAATGGAGCCTCAGAAGTGAAGCAGCCATACGAGGATCCTTTTGAACAGCTTTAGCAACGACTGATTTGACAATCTCTTGAGCTCTTGGACATGAATAGTCATAAAACTGAGGGTAGAGGTAACCCCCTACTTTTTGGCTGCAGAGGCAAAAGGGAGCAAAGGCTAATAGAGAAACAAGCAGAAGAAAGTTGACAGAATTGGCCATTTTTGTATCTTCCAAAGGCTGCCTTGAAGAACAGCACTTCGCTAAATATTGATTGAAGTAATGTTTTCAGACCGGATTGGATGTGCACTGTGGTCAGGGAATGGTATTTATAGAGGAGAACTGTCATGAAAAGTATCGCATGATAGAGGAGGACAATGGAAAAGGTGAATGGAAACAAAAAAAGTTGGAGTTGGTAGCTAACTGGCCTTGGAAATTCATTTGCAATAAAGAAAAATTCGGAGTTGGTATTGATGATTTCATCTTAATATGCTTAATTAATTAAGTTAAAGAACAGTTCAAAGGAAATATAGATGAAAGCTGTAAGTTTAAGCTGCACATAGAGCAGCAAAGTCGAAGTCTAGCATAAAGCAGATAGGCTTAACATAGAATAAGCAGCTAAAAAACATGGTCACAGGTCACCCCAGCATCATCATCCTATTCTTGGATTTGAAGTAATGAACATACGAAAATATTTTACTGGTCTCTACTTTAATAGTCGTATCAATTGTGATCAACTGCATGCCTACTGGAATTATTATTAGGACATCTTTTACTGGCCTCTTCTTTAAGACTCGTATCAATTCCTTTCTTTTTCATTTCTTAATCGCCATGTTTCGCTTTCCATTGGACATAAAATGATTAAACCCAGAATAGGTCCTCCATAGTTTCATAGGTTTTAAAAAAAAAGAAAAATCAAAGAGAGGAAGATGGAATATGAAGCTAAATATTATAGTTCTGACTGTTGTAGTAAGTCCTACATATGCCCTGCGCATATTTTTCTCCATATTTTTGTCAAGTTATGCAAGAAATTTGAAAACAAAAGAACTCAATAAAGCTTGCGTTAGATTTTGATTATACCTGCATCTCAACAAATAAAGTCAACCACTATTTAGCATCCAAATTGCCAACGGACTGGTTCTTAAATAGATAAGTTTAAATTGAAATATTCAAAACTTCGAAACTGGTAGAAAATCATTTATGATTTGGTGATTTGGTTGTGCAAAGAAAGTTATTAGAGATGCTAATGAAAACGGGCAATCTTAGGCCAGAAAAAAGGGCAAAATTTGATCATAGAGGGAAACTGAAAATGACACTTGTGGATATCATTAATCGAGATTTCTTGGTTAATGGCTTATTACAAGAGTTAGCTTGAGATATAATACAATAGCATTATGTGATTCATAGAGTTTACCTCGTTCAATAGGATAAAGTTTTCTGTTGTTACATTTAAAATTTGAACAGATAAAAAATGTGTTAGAATAGTACTTTTCTGACTATTACAATGATGGGAGTTGAAGAGTGACAAAAAACTTTTAGAAATAAATACATTAAGAATTTTTTTTTAAATGCATTACAAGTATAATCATGGAATTATATTAATTTTGATTCCAGACTTTGAGATCACAAATTGGTGTAACTGTATTCTTGAATAATTAATTAAACCTTTTTTTTTTTTTTGAGTGATGAGGACTTAGAATCATAGCGCAAGATCATGGAGGCAAAGTTGTTCGAGAGACTAATTCACGTTGAATCTGTCTTTATATCAACACTACCTAATCTAAATCACTCACTCAAAAACAAGAGGCCATTTGAGCTTCCAGAAAGCATGGTGGTCAACCTGCAGCTATTGTTCTCCAAGCTAAGAAAGCCAGCTACAAGGTCAATGTTTAATCTCTCGTAAAGGAATATATATAAAGAGGACGGAATATCTTTTTGACCTTATCACCTCTCTTTAATTAACATAATCAAGGTAGATAATGATGATTTTGGTGTTCATTATTTTAGTTGAGGCGTGGCTCTGATGATGTGTGAATAAATAATCTCTAAATGGGAACGACATCTTTGACCTCAAAAAGTGTAAGAATCTTAATGAAAATTATGAGGTGGGGCATGTGTTCCTGCGCGTCCAGGTTTAGCATAAAGTGCAGCAGAGTGCCAAAACAAAGTATTACAGAGAATGTTAGGTTAAGTGTCGATGGTGCAACGTGATGCAGGAATGGTAAGAGTTGGATACCTAATCCATCCAATCAGCTACATATGTTTACATGAGCTTTTCTTCAATCATAGCATATTATATATCTTATCACCGTCTAGGCGTCCAGCAGTACATGTTTAGCTTTTCTTGCCCTTTTTTTTGGTGGGGAATACAATACAATATGTGTGTGTGTGTGGAGCTCTAATTGTTGGGGAAAGCTAGAAATCTTTGATCGATTAATAATAACTTTAACTGATAAGAAATGTGGCTAACTTGTGCTTTGCGTGATGGATTTGGATAAGTGGAATGACTTTGCTTCTTTTCTTCTTTTGATTACCTATAAATTCTTTAGTTTCTCAAATAACCATGATCACAACGTAACAAGTGTTCGTGTTAAACATAAAGATGTAAATCAAGTATCTCTCGTGAGTATTATCAAACTGACATATTTACAATTGTATATGGTATTGGAATGAAAAACGACACAAAAAATATGATTGAACATATTTTCAAATTGTATATTTACTCTATATATCACCCAACATATACAAAATTAGGCACATTTTTTTATATGTTACAGGAAATTTGAATACGTCAAAGTTAATCGGTGCTTATAAGGATGTACAGCGCTTTAAATTTTTTAATGATGTATTATTATATCGATGAGAGTCACGTTGCCCAATGGAATGGAACCGACCTTTTCGCGTTATGTAACATCTGCTCTACTTTGAAGAAGGTTCCTGTTCCTGCAAGACATGATTTACCCCACGAGGGCTATTAAACAAAAACATAATGCTTTCACATGAAAACGGACGCAATTTCAACCATGGCTTTTGTCCCTTGGAGCTCTTGTTTCCATAGTACATCCTCACATGCAGTATAGTCCAAATCCTTTTTGTCACATGAAAAAAGCTGATTTTTACTTGACATTAACCTTCAATCATTCAAGGTCAAAAAAGAAAAAAAAACCTTCAATCATTAAAATTTGGATTAACTCGTGGCTCTTAAATTAAAGGGAAAATATAGTCCAAAAACGCCAGACTTGTTGCCTTTCCAGATGTCACTATGACATTTCAAATAATCATGAATATTGATTATCACTTGCACTGGCTACAGCCTATAAATTTCTCTTAATCTTTTTTTTTTTTAACCAAATTTCTCTGAAGCTTGTTGACATCGAAAAGATATTTTTTAATTTCTTTTATCATCTGTGGACAAAACTTTATAACATCAAAAAGATTATATGATATTTTACACAAAAAATATGAATACCAACTTCAAAAAGCCTAATGATTTGCTCCCAAAAAGAAAAAAATCCTAATGATAACTTGTACGGTCTATACTTATTAATTTTTGAATATTAATCAAAATCGGGGATCAATCACCACTATTACTTCTCATGAATTCATACTTAACCTGCTCTTTATTTTTTTTACCCCCCACTGCGCTGTCCACATGATAGGGTTCCCATAAATATCATATTAGAGGCCTAAAGGGCATATGAGAAACTAGCAATAGGATTAGGATATAATTGGACTCTGCGTGGGAGCCTTCCCCACCTCAGGAGGATCCAATGTCAGTCCTGCAGAGTCCAATTATAACATCAATCAAGCGAATGGGCATTGGGCAAGTGCCTTGACTTGTTTTAGCTATAACAATTGCGGAGAAGTAAAAAACACCATATAGCCGTTTCACTTGCATTGCGCGATCCATAAGTTATGCGATCTGCATTGTTTTCACTAACATAGCAACTGACAAATTCGAATGAATTCAGAGTTTCTACTGGTTACTGCAGCATAACCCACGGCAAAGCACATAGCGCAAATTTCAGGCTAATGCATTGCTATCACTATACCTTTTCTTATTAAGATTTTAAACTTGCGTTGAACATGTTCACAAAGAATACATCAGACTGAAGCTACAGAATCCCCCCATAATCCGAGTCGATCTAAATAAAAATTTTGGCGGGACGAATACCCAAAAAAGAAACATTGATATCTTCTCCCAAAAAAAAAAAAACTAATCGGTTGCACACATTTATATAGAGCCATACTTTCTTTCTGTTGGTCTCCATGCTCCTTGGGAAGAACCAGGAGGGCGCTCCCAAGAGGCTTCACTGGCAAAGGCACTATTTTGGTCTTCAGGCCGCGAGTAGCCTTGCCCCGCGTGACTCACCTATTTTTGTTCCACACACAAGAAGAGATGTCAGAAAAGTTGGCAAATAAGTTGACTCGTATTTCCTACAGAACAAACTTTCAATTCTATTGCTTTCGCAGTTCATTTCCTTCTCCTTTCTTGTTTTTCTTTTCGATCACAGAATAAGAGAAGTACGAAGTTATGAAATATGGTCCTGATGCACCTGAATGAAAACCGAGCCATTTATAGCAATGCCATCGGTGGGTTATGTACCACAGCATTAATGGAAACTTAAATGATTACAGACGTACCGTATAAACAATTTTGTATTTATGTGAACATTTTGGTAGTTTTACCCTCAAATTGAACATATTGATCTTCAGGATCACTTAATCTATGTGTACAAGTGCCACACCCAATACTGAATCAAAAATGAAACACAGTTCTCTTCATGTTACTCCTAGTAGGCTAATATGACTAATTGTTATTGGTTACCGACAATGACCTGAACTATAAAAGAATTCAGAATTGACTAAATCAAAATTTAATATTTTCCTGCCAACAATTCTAGCGGACAGATAAATATCAGTAGGAGATCTGAACTCACAGTCTCTAAAAAGGCAGACAGTATAGTCATGCCAGGCAATGCATCAATTCCACGCTGCCAGGGGGGGAAAAAGACGTTAGACACTGTTGTATTTGAAGACAAGACGTAACCAAGAACCAGTGGCCATCTTATGCTTGCAAGTGAAAGAACCAGAGAAAAAGGTCTCACCTGGTTTTCCACTCTTGTCTTATAAATGAAACCTCCACAGCAAAACAGTGTTGAAGAGACAACGAAACTGTACAATAACAAGTTGTTACGAGATGTAAACTCATTAGGGAAAAACTTATGCATGTCTGTGACAAGCCAACGCAGAGCCAAATAAAAATTATGAACTAAATATGGGACGGAAACCCTAATTATAGGTTCCAATTATTGAATTTGCTATACATGCAAGAGAGCACTCCAAATGTTGCCCATCCTCTTGCAGCACCTCCCCCTTGATTCTGCTTATATTCTGCAAAAATAATCAGGGATACTCATTCGCTTGACTGAGATCTGAGAAAGTTGAAGGACCAAACTAAGAGGAGAGTGATGTTTCAAGGACCAAATCTTTAATTTACTCAAAAACTACATGTGACACCCTCAATATAGGCCTATAGATTGCATACTCTTCGTAATAATTAAATGCATATAAAGGCAAAGAGAGAGTGCTTAAGAATTTCAGCTTACCACACATTTTTGTAAGAACAAATTGAACTGGTTCATAGCCCTCAACAGGGATTGAGATATGAACTTCATAGGGAACATCACGGGCCACCTCACCTGGAAAAAGTTGATAGGTCAAAGTTAGAAAAAGAAACATTTTATGTGACATTGATAATCCTTCAATAAGTAAGTGCGGTCATACATCTCCAATCCAAAATCAGCACAGCGGGTGACAAAGTTGTAGGAGGTTCCCCATTGGCTGCAGATCCAGACAGTTTTAATTCCAAGCCCTTATTTGGGGAGACCTAATTAGTAGCAATTTTAAAATGTCATGATCATTTATCAAATTAAAAAAAAATGCCACGTATGAAGTACCTTGTAATGAGATAGTAACCATTCTCCACAGAGTGAATACAAAACAAAAAGTACCTTGAAACTAGGTTTTTGAACCAAGGAAGAGAGAGAAGCAACTGCAGTCACATAAAGGGCAACTTGAGACTGCTCAGTCTGAAAGCTGTAACAAGAAAAAGTGATACATATATTAATCATAACATAAGTAAACAAAGTTTTTGGTATGTGAAGCACAACAACATAAAATCACTAATTCACTAATCAGAAAATATTAAAATTTTAATAGTTGACTAGATGAGCAGAAAAGATTCTGTACCTAAATTCTTTGTGAGACTTCTCAAAACCAAATTGAGTCATGCCATTATAAACCTGAAATTTCATAAGAGGAAGATTTATCAAGTGCTATATTTTAATTCCTGGAATTAGGCATATTCTCGAGGAATTATGCATACATGGAAATGACAGAGCTGCTCACCAGTTCCCATGATCGCGGATGAAAGCCAACAGTGCAGCCTTGAAATACTCGTGGACCAGGTTTCTCACATGGAATAGCCAGTTCCACCAAAACTCTGAGCACACAGCAAAGACCACATATAAGATGTTTGAGATACACAAGCCTCATCAAGATATGTCTTTTCAAAAAGCCTTCTGTCAACATAAGGTTTCATCAATGTAGATTGTTTGAGACATTTAGTAGCTAAGAAAAACCTAAGAAATCCTCTTATCTTTTCCTAAGGGTGAAAGTGCTGGGGAAAAAGAAACAATAAAACTGTTTATGCCTCCTCCAGCTCAAAAGACTAAACTGTTAAATTAAAGCTCATTAACCTGCTCCAGATCAAAAGACGAAACTGTTAAATTAAAGCTCATTAAGAACTTTACTACACTCTTAGAGCCCCCTTGTGTATGAAAGCCCTTGTTAGAGTATTAATAAGGGCATCCCCACGATACCTTGTGCTCAAATTTAATCCCAGCAAAGGAAATGCAGCAGGGTGGCAAGTATTGAACTCTAAACCACTTGATCATAGAGGCTCTTATGCCGTGTCATGAACTACTTTAATACCAAGACCATGAATAATTTTATTGCAGTCTAACTTCAAATAAACAGTCTTATTGACTCTATTACTTTGACTTACAGAAGCTGCAAAGTGCTAACTTAGTGACTGAAGTTTTTCGACATCTGAACTTTGACCTAGAAAGTGATAGATGAAAACAACATAAATTATAGAAGACCTGCAATTTGATTCGTATGTGACATTGCATATGCATCCAAGTCGACCTGCAAGTGGAAAACACAATGAAGCATTTGAAATATTTTGCATTTAAAAATCGTTGTTAAAAGAAATGACCATTTCAAACTGGCATTATGGCAATCAGAAAGCAACAACATAAAGGCAATCTGTATTACATACATCACTGAATTCGGCTATCTAGTAACCTAAAATGCTACTGGGTGGTTTCCATTCACTTCTAAGCAACCTAAAGTAACGGACCACAAAAAAGAGCAATCAAGAATGAGGTAGGAGTTAAGACATCACAGAAATGCCAAGCAGACAAGCAGACAAATGCTTGCAGGATAAACAAACCAATGAATAGCATACACTATACACACCTTTACATTGTCCATTTGGACAAGTCCCACATATGATATTCACCTGAAAAACATGAGTTCACCGTGAGAGAAGTTCATCCAGAAGAAAAAGACATGTAAATCTTCCAAGATAAGACTGACTATTTAAAGATGAAAAACCAAATAATTTTGTAACACAACCCACAAAAGAAGGGAAGAACAAATCAAGCATTTTCGCATTATCAACTTGGACTGACAATTCATGCATTCTGACTAATCAAGAAGGAATGAAAGAAGGAGAGAGATCATTCCAAAGTATATCAACCTGGGCTGTTCGACCCATTTTATCATAACTTTGTTCACAACCTGACAGGTCACCATTGTAAAACCGCTGCACATATTGGGAAAATGCATTAGACTTGGGAAAAGTAGGCGTGTGCACAATAGACGGAGAAACAGGAACGAGATGAGTTGGAAGTGAAATTTTCTCAAGTATGAAACAAATACAGTATTCTGTAATTGAAGTGGGACCATGAGACTTTAGATGTTCACATAGAACTATCATCTACTTCAGTCTTGCTGCTGTGCATGCAGTATTGCGTTAGCCACAAAAGAGATAACAAATTCTTTAGAGGTCCTCATTTTGATCCTTTCTCCAGTTTCAAAATATATTATTATTAACAATTTTACCCAAAAGAAATATATTATTAAAAAAATAAGTGATTAATAAATAACAAATGATCATCATATGCCTTCCAACGTTTTTACTTTCAATCCTCTTTTCGTTACTATGCTGTGGTATTTACGGGAAGGCAAGAGAAGGAACGAGAAAAAAAAGAAAGAGAAGAGGGGAAGAGCGATTCGGAGAGGGAAACAGAGATAAATGAGAATGAATATACTCAGGCATCAACAACAAAACAGCAATAGTCAGATTACTAACTTTTATTTACTTATATTTTCCATAACATATTACTACCACTCATTTGGTGTGTCTCACTCTTTTTATCGATAGTCACCTCTAGCATAAATGAACAAAGACGGAGGAAAACTAATACATAGTAACATTCCTCACTTTTGTTGTTCATGCTTCACAAGATAGAAAGGACTAAAGGAACTTACTTGGATGAAATCAGATTGGCCTGAACCAGCAGCAAAGTAGTTCAATTTATCATATCGGCCAAAATCAACATATCCCTAAATGGTTTTGGTGTCAGCTAATGAAATGAACAAACGTATAATGGAAAAGAAATGCATGCAATAATATATGAAGTTTGTGCCTCGGTAGCAAAAAATTGGAAGCAAGAAAACCCAAGCAATGAAGTATCCAACAAGAACTATTCAGTGCGCTCGTACTACGGTGTCTTAATTTGAGACCTGGTTGGGATAATAAATCTTGGTAAGATATGAAATCCACCAATAGTGAGGGGGCACTTTGTGATTGCATTAACAACAGTGAAAATGAGTCCATAGTTTATTTCCCTTTTCCCCTGAAAGAGGACTTGCTCGAAAGGGAATTTAAAACAGAACTGAAGTATCAGGGACCACCTGATATAATGTGTATATTAAAAAAAAAAAAAAAAGCTACCCTATTCTGCCCTTGTATTCTTAAACGAAGGAATGAAAAACAAATGATTGGTTTTTCTTAACTTATAATTTTCCAGGACGTTTGCGGTTTATATTATAGAGATGATGCCTAAGGTTTTAGAGAAGCTGATTGTAAAAGTAAACAATGAACTACTGAACATACCATGCATCAAATAAGCGAAATGCTACTATAAATGCACAAGGCAGGAAAAAGAAATAAATCAGAGCAAGAAAACAACAAAGTACTCGAAGGCATGGCAACATGGACTACCGTTTGTGATCTAGTCTCTACATCTTTGCAAAATCGAACCGCCAAGTCAGAGTCCTGCAGCAAGGCAAGGAGACTAACTTACCTAGAACTAGAATGACGTTGAAAGTGTGAAGAAAATTATTCATATACAGGCGTTAAGACACCTCTGGACATATCACAAACAGATTGAGAGCATTACCATCCCCTTCCCGTCGTACTCAAAAGTCTGCCCGATCCAGCTGCTCTGATTACCGGGTTAAGCGATAGCAACTCCATCCAAAATTGTCAAACTATAGATTCCTTCAAGCGTCATAAACATAAGTACATATTAACAGCAAATGCCACAAACCCAATAGATTTTCGAGCTGTAAATTGCATGCTAAAAAGCGTACTCAAAGTACGTAACTTTGAAGGTATAAGAATGTAGGATACGAAATCAACAATGTGACTCGAATTATTAAAAGCATAGCAATTGGAACTCGGGTGCACAACTGAAGCAACCCAGAGCGTCTGAGAAAGAACAGCTGAAACGAATTAAAAATCACTGTGAGTAAACAATTACTCCAATAGCAATTCAAATCAAAAGATAACAGACTACACGAGAGGGTAAGATGGCAAACCGACCAACGGCCAAAACTACTAAAATTTCTGAGGGATGCATTTTTTGGAGTGGTTCAGTGTCAGCGTCGCTTTAGATTTTTGAAGCGTACGCTCGAGATAAAACTGCGCCAACGGCCAACCGATATTGCTGTTGCTGCATCTTCCAGTCCAGGATACCAGAAACACTCAGGATTCATTCAGGCACCAAAACAAACGGCGGTCGTAACGAGTTTCAAATGCAGGACTTGAACTCATGTCGTTTAATGCGCACCTTAAACGCAGTCGTCTCCGAAAATTCCACGAATTTTCCTAGAACCTCATCGAGAATCATCGTGGGAGGCAATGGTTTTTTTTTTTTTTGGGGGGGGGGTGTTTCTGAAAATGATCGTTAGTGGTAATTAGTAACGATTCAAGTGAGATTTGATATCTTGAGGGGAAAAAAACAAGTGAGATTTGATAGAGTTTTCATAATATTCACTCGATGACTCCACTGTTTTAATCCAGTTTGATGGTGAGATAATTAATGAGTGAACATTCCATCATGGACAAAATTCAGACAGATTACAATGTTACTGAGTAGAAATCGAGGCAGGCAAATAATTAATTTGAAAATATTAACCAAATCAGTTAAATTTGTTATTTATACTAAATAAGATTTACTTTGTTAAATTATTATCTTTAATTATATGTATTGAAACTACTTCTTAATAAAAACTAGGGGTGAGCAAAACCGAACCGTAACCGATAACCGAACCGAACCGAATTTAATTTCGGTTTTTCAGTTCGGTTATTTCGGTTTTCGGTTATATATTCGGTTTTTATTTTTAAATAATTCGGTTTCGGTGTTCGGTTCGGTTAGTAGAAAAAAAATTCGGTTATAACCGAATAACCGAAATAAATATATTATATATTTATATTTAATAAATATTATTATAATAAATATATATGTGGGTATATGTGAACTTTTTAAATATATTTATATTCAATAAATATGATTATAATAAATATTATTATAATAAATCACATTGAATGATGAAATATTTATTAATTAATGGTTATAATTGTGTTTCATTATTTTTAATTTAAAATTATTTTCATATTTATATATTTCGGTTAATCGGTTAACCGAATCGAAATTTTCGGTTAATTCGGTTTCGGTTAGTTTGGTTATTCGGTTTCGGTTCGGTGTTTAAAACTTACTCTATTCGGTTATTCGGTAATTCGGTTATTACCGATAACCGAACCGAAAAACCGAATGCTCACCCTGATAAAAACCCATACTTTGGGGAAAAAAATTAGAAATTTAGGGGGGAAAAATTAACATCTTATACTTCACCAAATTCAATCTCCATTTGACTCTTATATTCAAAATAGGATGTAGAAACATTTTTAAAACAAAATACACGACGAACAGTTGCAAGAGAATATCAGAGCGCAATCTTCATGCTTCAGCTCATCTTTAACATTTTACAAATTCAATTGAATTAATACGTTGAAAAAGATATGGGACTCGGTGGTATTCTCAAAATTATAGCACATGTCTATATGGAACCCACTTTTGATGGAACTGGTTCAATGCATCCAATTTTCTCCATGAATAAATGGCTAAAAAAGTTTACGCACAATGAACTTGAAATAAATAAATGCCATGCCTATAGTAGATTTCATACGAAACATTTCCCCCCCGATAAATTGAGAAATATATATTTATAAAATTGAACTGTACACAGGCTATTAACTGACGTTGGTGTACAGTTCCAGCGATACAACATTGGTTTACTCTAATTTCAGACACTCCAGTGTTCTTCGCCCAGGCATATAAGTCGATTTAGATCACCAATGCTGAGTTTGAGCAGATTACTACCGTTGCATAGATGACAAACATAATCCCTGAATGGACGCATATGAAGGTGGATACGCATCCCTTCCTGACATCATTGACGCCACCAGCTCTTTTATTTGATAAGTCAGCATAAAAATACTTTCGGCTGAGTTATTTGTTATCCATTCCTCCGTCATCCTGCACAAATTGTAGCCATTACTCGCTAGGACAAGATAACCACCATCCTGTATTTGAGTTTATCACAGAAAGCAAAACTCACTAGAGATATACAATCCGGTGCATTAATAATTCAGAGAAGATTTTTTTGTTCCCGTCGACTAAAGACAAAAAGTAGGCTCCTCCCAACTAAATTGCTACATGCATAAAGGTTGGGATTCAAAACTCCAACCATTGCTCAAGTGACAAGAGCCTTTACCACTCATGCTCACTTGAGTTGATATTTGGAGAAGGATTCTATTTTACCCTCTTCTGAATGTTTTATCGGTTGTCAAATGAGTTTGTATGTCAAATTGTCAAACATCGGTAATCATGATGCAATACTCCCCGTAAAATATACACAACGTAATGTTAAAAAAACTTTAAGGCCACAAATCATGACTTCTATCTCAGTACAGAGTAATGAACTCACTTGGTTGGGGAACAAACTCAAGGGTTGAGGAACTGGAGCAAGAAACATCTAGCGAAACAAAGTCCATTATGGAAAGCCTCAAAAGAAACTAAAACAGACAACAGCTCCATATTCTGAAACAGACTTAGTTATTGTAACAAGAGAGATAAATTGATAGCTAACCTTAACTGAAGTTCTGTAGCAGTACTGCATTCAGAGAAAAGCAACTTGATGACGGGCTGTAGTTGTAGTTTAGGCACCTCAGAATCCTCAGTGATAAAACAATCACCAGAAATTGACCATGTATCTGGATTTATAAGAATGATTTGCAGGGCAGGGGACTTTGCTTTCAGATCTATGACCGCAAACCGAAATGATGATTCATCATTTGCACACTCTACTAGCTTGTTTGCAAACATTTTTCCCATTGTATATTGCCTGGTATCAAAATGTATTGAAAATTTGTTTAATATAATATATAACAAATTAACCTGAAAAAATAGTATTTAACAGAAAACTTAAAATAAAAATTCATCTTGTGTTCTTTTTAATCATATTCTGCTAATTCTCCAAGGCATATGTCAATAAGAAGGAAAATGAAAGTAAAGGCAAGGAGCTACAGAGTGGGGGAACTCATGCACAGGATCGAGAAACTTACTGCTTCTAACGAGTATCGCTCGCCTTTCATTAAGATCTTTTTTTTTTCCTTTGGGGTGCACAAATGAGGCTCAAAGCCCAGTAAATTTTCATCCTAAATAATTTAATGACATATGAAAACTACGAACTTTCAAGTATGCTGAGAACTTATTCTCCAACTGCCAATGCATTTAGGTATTTTAACACGGCTATATTAGCCGTGCATAATGAACATAACTGCATGATAAATAGGCAATCTTTGAGATCACATATCGAACAAATAATAAATCGGCATACGGAAGAGATTGGCAGGAAGACGCACATTTAAAGGACCCAAACATGGTCACTGCAGCAGCATTTTTGTCCATATAAATGGTTAGAAAGAAGGAAAAAAGTATCATTTCTCCGTAAAATTTCCTTCCTCCACTTGCTCTAACAGTAAGCAGACTAATCAAATCAAATTACCTGTGCAGGAGTTCAAGAATTATTCATACTCTATACAAGCTATTCCGTAGAATCAGCAAGAAAACAAAATTGGCACTTTATTTTTAAACCTTTTCCTAACAAAAAAATATCAATAAAATACTAAACAAAAACAGATCTTTGCTAACCTGAACAAGTCTCCAGATCCTCTAACTGGCAAACAAGTTGAAATATTGCACTTAAACAATCGTACTCCTCCATCTACAGGGGCTTCGCCCTTACAGCTTGGATAGGCTCCAAGAACAGACTTGCACTGAGGGCACGTGAATTCACACCAATCAATATCTTCTGAAAGATTGGAAGATCTAGCCATGAAAACATCTTCAAGAAACCCATTGAGGAAAGATTTCTGACTTGCAAGAATTTCCATGGCTGTTGTATCTTTATGTTCTTTTCTAGCATTTTCACAGCATTGGTGTTGCCAATCCTCATTCTCAAGAATGTGAACGCTGCTTGTCATATGAGCACAACAACTGGAAGCCATGGCCACATCCGCAGGGACATGGGAATCCAGGTATGAACGAGAGAAGTCATCATGATTAGATTTTTCTTCACCAACTTCATGTCCCAAGTTCACATTAAGTTTTTCATTCTGAGAATCTGCAAACCTTGAACTCTCGTCAGAATTATATATGGTTTTACCAATCTCACTACAAGTCGAAGATCTTTCCATAGATATCTCCGAATTTATTGCAGCTTTGTTAATTCCTTCTTCAAATTTATCTGATTTAGAATTACACTCTTCTCCACCACGTTCAGGGAAGTTATATTCTATCAGATCATCCTTGCAAAGAGTAATAGACGTAGAGCTTAATAGGCATACCCCTGGTGCACAAGTATAAGAATTTGCATATTTGATCACCAACTTCTCACTTATGCCTCCAAATGAACAACAACAAGCCCCAAACCAGTTGTCAGCTACCTCTCGCCAATTGACTGATGGCATTTCAACGAAACTCCTAGAGGAGTTGTGCCAAAAAAAAAAAAAGAGAAAATAAAAAAGCTTCACAGGAAAAATGAAAACTATAAATTATTACGCCAGTAAGGCTCTATTACTTTAGGAAGAAATGCAATCATCAAACAATTTGCTATTAAATATAAACCCAACCAGTTACCCCCAAAACACACACACACACACACACACACACACACACACACACTACCTGAGAGGATTTCTAGTCAACTTGAAAGAGCAACTTCCACAGTAAAAATGAACTGCTGCTCTGGAAGATAAATTTTTTACATCTGAACCAAATAAAGAAGTAGAACACCAAATTACAAATAAAGCAAGTAAAATAATATACAACTAATCGCAAAGCCATGCTAAACCCAAAATGCAAGAGCGAGCTTTATCGAAATGGTTAATGTTCAATCCATGCCTGGTTAGAATATAAACGGCAGGGTTTGCAACATTATTGTGTCTGAATATATAGCTAATTTTCATTATCTATTTTTTCAACATGCCCACAGTAGCTTTGGTGTCCACCAAGATATCCGTCAAAAGGAAGATATTAGACGCAGGACTCAAAATTGCAATCTATCCGCACCGGAAAGGAAACAGATAGAACACAAACAACCACAGTCATGAAAGGGCTTGACTCTATAAAATATAAGTTCCATCATTCATAAGTGATGAAGTTCACCACGTACCACCCACCC